CACCCCTCCACCCCTCCCTCCACCCTCCACCGCTCCAGGCCTCCTCAATCTCCCAATCAACAGGAGGCTGAAGGCGCAGGGCGTTTATGGACAGAGGCTGACCTCCATGACGCGGCAAGTACAATTGCGCGTGGATTCGCAATTGATCGCGTGCCAGTCAACTGGGCTGAGCGGCCTGGGTTCCAGATGATGCTGAAAGGGCTTTTGGGCGCAGAGTTCAGGCTGCCGTGCCGTTCTACACTTTGCAAGCTTCAAGACCAGATGCTGGAGGAAGTGCAGGCGCGAGTCCTTGCTGACCTGGAGGCCATCGCAGTACAGGGTTACCCAACTGTCACAATCAGCACGGATCTTTGGCAAGGCCCGGATTCCTTGCATTTTCAGGCCATTGTGTGCCACTACATTGATTCGTCTTGGTCCCGACAGAAGCGCCTGCTGTACCTGGACCGTCTCAAGACCAGCAAGTCGGCCGAGAGCCAAGTGCAACGCATCAGATCCGTGCTGTCCAACCGCAAGATTCTGGAAGAGTGGCTGTTTGCGGCAAGCTCGGACTGCACAGCTTCTGCCAAAAACGTCAGCTCCCTTTTGGGGGTTCAGACTGCATTATGCTCCGCACATATCTGCGCTTTAGAGCCAAGGAAGCAGATATTTCTGCAAACAAGGCAAGAAGCTGGCGTCCAGGAGCTACGCCCGCATGAGCGTGCGTCACCCGAAGTCGTTTCCTTTGCGGAGTCCGTCCGGAAGCGTGCCAAGGCTTGTGACGCAATCAGTTTTGAACCTATGTTCGGCTGAACCTTCCATATGAGGGGGGCTAAAAAATAATAGTCGGAACGGTGTCTTCCAGTACTGGCAACCCACAGTGCCGCTTTTAGTCCTTGCTTTGCTCCTCTAGGGGTTCAGATACAACGAGACGAAGCGCCTGGAGCTGGAATCTGTGCAGAAGTATGTTGGGGGCAGAACCAAGCGCGTTGTGCTGGACTCTGCTGCTAAGTGGTCCTCCAGCGTCTCCATGTTTGACACGGATTTTCTCTTGAGGACAGCGTATGCCGAGTTTGCTGTCCGCCATCCGCAGCGAGCTGCCCCTTGCCTGCGGTAGGCGTTAGCCTGCATTTTTCTGGACGGGTGGGAACTTTACCCAATATTTCCGAGAATCCGCGGAATGTCCCCTGCTATCAAAATTCGTTACCTGCTTCCCGAATGTGCTGATCCCTGTCCTGAGCCCCTAAAGCATCGACCTAGGCATAGCTGAATTACGGGCCGAAGCTTGTCAAGTTTCTCGTGGGGCCCAGGGATGTGTTTTTGGATTAGAGTCCGATTAGAGGGGCCCCCTGCCAGATAGGCATTGTGTTCCGGGGCTCCCAGCTGGCGTTTCCACCTTTGCTAAGAGTGGGCCGTCCTAGGTGGATGTGATGGCCTGTAGCTGAGGCGGAGATCCCGGATGACATGTCTGACTTCCTTGTCAGCCGGGACATGGCGGGGGTGTTACGCCCTTTTCAGGTGTGCACAGACATGTTGCAGGCCGTGTGTGTCCGAGACATGCGCCCTTTCACATGTCGCCTTGGCCTTTCATAGCCCCCTCCTCCCTGCGCAAGGCTGGCCGCGCCCCTGCGGCAGTTACGCTGCCCTGTCTGACAGCACTTGTGGCAAACTTGCGCGCTGATACGGTGCTCATCGCCACCGACACGCCTGGCCAACTGGAGGCTTTGCCCGCGGCAAGGCTACAACCGCTGGCTCAAGAATTGAGGCAACGTCTCACGGAGAATGTTGCTTTGGAGAGCAGGCACATCGAGGAGCAGCGCAGCTTGCTTCTGAAATGCTCCTTTCTGGATCCCCGCTTCAGAGCCATGCACTTTTGCACCCAATCCGACAAGGAGGCTACCATTCAGGCTCTCTACGAGGAGGCGGCCAGGATCCCGGGTTTCGCGCATGAGCTTGAGGAAGAGAACTCCGATCATGGGCAGCCCGTCTCTGCCAGGGACATGTTTCTGCAGGCGATGCAGGGTGACAAGCCCGTGCAGAACGCCAAGCAGCGTCGCAAGGCCCTTCGAGAACAGCTGGCAACCTACGGCCATGGTGCTAACCTGGCTCTGGATACCGAGCCTCTGCACTTCTGGCAAGAGCACGCTGACGCGCTGAAGTTCCTCGTCCCGCTGGCCCGGCGCTATGGGGCAGTGCCGGCAACCACAGCTGATGCTGAACGAGTCTTCTCCATGGCCAAGCATTACTTCACTGATTCCCGCTTGAGTTCAGATTCCGTAGACAAGGTGATGCAGATAAGTTTGAACCTTCCGGAGCAGGGTTTGTGGCAGGATGGGGACATCCACTCTCACTGAGTCTCGCCGGGCATCTGCTGCAGCTCTTTCAAATACTGCTGGTAGTGCTACTGGTTGTACAGCAACTGCTACTGCTCGTACAACAACAACAACAACAAC